GTTTTCACTTCTCCCAGGGAAGCATCCAGCCAACATCTTCATCCTCTGGGGCCAGAAACGGAAAATGCACATTCCAATGGATCAGCACTCACGCAGTGATAGCCAGCAACATCCTGCACAGCTTCTCCAAAGCCATTTTCTGCCTTCATGTCTCACGCAGCACATGTTCAAACATGTTTCTCTCCCTCCCTTTTTCTCATTTAACAGGTCAAACCTGCAGTATGTCCCCCAGCAGCTGAGAACAAGGGTTCCAGGATTTAAGTCCCCAAAATCGACCTCCGCCTGCCCCAAAATAGTCCTGGTTAGCAGCCAGAGCAAATCATTTGCTCCTGGGATACTGTAGTGTAGTTGTGGTCTGAATATATTTCTCTTTCCTCCTGTCTCAAGACAAGCACAAAAGCAACCAGCCTGGCCACAAAACCCATACCGTATGCCATAGTATCGCTACTGAAGGTTTCTTTTTGAGAATTATATCAGGCAGTGTTAGTGTTTTTATCTAATTTGTTCACATGTTAAGTCATCATAAAGTTTTGGTTTCATGTACCATTTGTGACTTGGGGTAACAGTTTCAGTTTTACTTCCCTCAAACTTTTATCAGTATTAACACCACCATGAATATAACTGTTGAATTTCTTTTTAGTCTATGGGGGTGTTACAGGATCAGCATAAGAAAAAAGTTTTGTTTAGCCAAGACCTAATGAACTACTCTGTTTATTTGTCTCAGCAAAATCACCATAAATCTAATCCACAAAAGCATTGCACTTTCAGAACATACACATGGAATAAAAATATTAGATATGAAGATATGAATATTAGATACTTATTTCAAAGAAAGATACAAATAGATGCACATTTTAGCAGTCTACAGTCAGACCTCTTTTACACTTCTTTTAACAAGCATTAACCACACTGAATAGATCAGAGTTCTCTTACCGTGGCACCTTAAAGACATGTGGAGTTCAATTCCCAAAAGCTTTGCTGGCTGGAGAATTCTGGGAATTGAAGTCCACAAGTGTTCAAGTTGCCAAGGTTGGAGACCCCTGGCATAGATTATCACATTTGTCTTCCTAATTTCTTTTTGTGCAGCCTCCCTTTCCCAAAGGGTAAATTCCTTTGAGTTTCTTTTTTCTTTTTTTAACATATTGACACTTTTATATTGAACAGTCCTTGATTCCAAAAATCCCATTTTGGATCATATGTGCAAAAATATTTATTAGCTTTATTAGTTATCGGAAATGCTTTTTCTAGTAGCTGAGTATTTGTAATATTAGAAACATTGTTTACAAATTTACTATTTTAATACTGAAAAACATAATAATCTAATGGTAGAAATGAGATTTATGCTTTCATGGTAATGGTAAATTGAAATGCTCATTAACATAAATAGGTTTGGTCCAAATGTAGTTATGGGAGAACTGCTTTGGTGTCAACTTATTTTTTGATTAGGGTGATATCTTACTTTTATTGTGGGATTTATGTAACATTTCCACTTTCAATTTTATTCTTGAAGCAATCATAGGAGGTAGGTTGGACTGTAAGATCAACTTACAAATCGTGTTAACTATATTGCAGTTCTACTAGCATCCCATAGCTAACATAAGGGCCAGGATTATAAAGGCACTGTAAAATCTTTTCTTTATATATCAACTATAAAATTTTAAAGACCAAAACAAAAGCTTAAATTTATTATTACTTTGTCTTCCACCTATAGGATGGTAAGTAGACTACTTTGGAGATTTACAAATTACCTGAAAAAGAAAAATTCTGAGGTAAAGTAGAAATCAGGATCAGAATCCAGTAATTTATCTTGCATAGTTTAGAATATCAACAACTGAAGAAAGGTTGTGATTTTTTGCTTAAATCTTTATTCCTAAAATTTTCATATTAAAACTAAAGTCCTGTGTCCCTTAATCTTCATGTCCAAGGTTTTTTTGATACCCTGTTCTGAATAGTAGAAAGATGTTTTGTTACTCATTTGACCAACCCCCCCCCCAAAAAAAACAATGGATCACATAAAACAAGGTTTTTAAATCATTTCCAGGTTTTTAAATTTCTAAGATTGACTACTGAAATGGTTAACACTTGGAAGGTGCTCTCTTTTAAACATGATTTTTCCCAAACTCAATGAGATTTGAAAAGATCTCAAGGAAAATAAGGTCTATAAATGAGTAGAACTGATACTTTTTTAGAATAAGGTAACTCAATAACTTCGGCTCTAAAATTAGTTCAACGTTTGGCAAACCTGGTTTTAACTTAGTTTTATAGGGCTGTTGCCTCCCCTATCTTTAGTTTCATAGTATGCAGTCGTGCTGGAGGTGGGGAATGTGGTGCTTTCCTGCTTCTATTTCTTGGAGAGGAGCTGTCTTTTTGGAAGTTCTTCATTATTTCCAGCAATTCGCGTTTTCCAAGTTCTGCCTGCTCCAACTCTTGGCGGTGCTGTCTTTCTGTTGCCATCAGATCCTGCATCTTAGACATCATCTTGGACATTTGACTCTAAAAAGCATTTACAGAGTTAATTTTATCAGACCGCGTTGCCGACTGCTAAAAGAGAATGGCAAATGTTGCATTTTCTTTTACACAGGCATCATCTTTCCTCTCCAGTAAATACAGCCATGTGGTATTCTTAAGAACTGCCTCCACAATTTTATCCAGGCATCAATTATGAGAGAGTAGTAAAGATGAATGATAGTAGCCAAGTTATTTTATTCTCTTCATTAATTATCTGAACTGTCTACCTGATTAAGCTCAACAGAGGCTAGGTTTTCTTTACAGGCAATCCTTGGATCATGATGGTAATTGGGGCCAGGATTGCCATTGCTAAGTGATGCAATCATAAAGAGCAATATCAAGTGACTGCATCGCTTACCATACTGGTTGCCACTGTAACTGCAGGATGCACAGGTTGTTTATACCAGAAGAGATGGGAGTGCAAGGGAATGTGGGGGTGTTGCAGGGGGTGATGTTAATGCAGGGGGGTGCCATGGGCAGGCGGTGGGGACTGTGGGTAAGTCCACAGAGTGCAGACAGGTGCTGTAGAATATATAATCTCTGTGGCCTCTTAAGGAGAAGTAGTGATGGGCGCAAGTTGTGCTCTTTCCTGTTGGTTTCCCTATTGATTTTGCTGCAACATCATAATCATGTGCCAGGGATCTAAGTGCCTGGATTCTGATGACATGACCTTGGGAATGCTGCAATGGCCAGAACTTTGAGGACTGTTGCCTATAGCCTGCAGAGTAGCAATGTCATTTGGGCATAGTGGGATGCACCTCTAGCTATCTGTGCCACTGCATTCTTGACCAGCTGAAGCTTCTAGATGGTCTTGGAAACCATGGCAGCTAGCATGACAAATAACTAAAAATTAATACAAATAATGAGCATGCCATACTAGTTAATGCAATACCGGTCAGCTCAACGAGCCATGGCAAGGTGAATTTTACAGCAATTTGGAGCCAGCTACAGAGTAAAGCAATAAGAACACCAGTTCACTAAAAACACTGTTACTAGTGGCCAAAGACAATGCGGTTACCTTAAGTTGTTCAATGTCTTTTTGCAAAAGACTCTCTTTTTTCACCATGTGTCTCCTTTGAGAATTTAAACGAGACTGCATTTCCTGTTTTTTATCTTCCATTTGGCAGATTATGTCAGATCTTTAAAAAAGGAAGTGTGTTTTCCTTTAATAACACTGATAATTTTTACTTCAGTTTGAAAAAAAACTGAAATAACCCCATAGCTATTTTTTTTATTGAAAAGTTTTACAAACAATTTCCCCCCATTATTCCCCCCACCCTTCCCTCCCCCTCTCCCCCCCAGACTTCCCAGAGCAAAATACAGGGTATTTCAATTAACAATTCTAAGCTAAATTAACCTAACTGTATTTAAACTAACAAATCCCCCCCCTGAAACCTTAACCCCACTATAGTTAGCATAATACTTCTAAGATTTAACATTCATTCATAAGCTATCTGGTATTTTCTTGTCTGATACTTATTTTGAATATAATCAATCCATCTTCTCCATTCCGATATGTATCTTTCCTGTGTATAGTCCTTCAAATACGCTGAGATTTTCGCCATCTCCGCTAGATTCGCTACTTTCAATGTCCATTCTTTGATAGTAGGCAAAAAGTCCTTCTTCCAGTATTGCGCTACCAACAGCCTAGCTGCTGTTATTAAATTTAGAATCAATTTAGTCTCTGATGTTGTACAATCCGTAGTTATACCCAGTAAGAACAATTGCGGGGTAAATTTCAACCTTTTTTAAAAGATATTCTGCATCACCCACCGAATTTTTATCCAGAATGCTTTGATCTTCTTACAAGTTCACCATATATGATAGTAAGTTGCATCATCGCAACCACATCTCCAACATTTAGCTTGCACATTAGGATACATACATGATAATTTTTTAGGGTCTAAATGCCATCTATAAAACATTTTATAAAAATTTTCTCTTAAATTTTGTGCTTGCGTGAATTTAACATTTCTAATCCAAATCTTTTCCCATGTTTCCATCATCACTGGTTCCTGAAAGTTTTGTGCCCATTTTATCATACAATCCTTAACCAATTCCGTTTCTGAATCTATTTCCAGTAATGCATTATACAGCCTTTTAATGTGCATTTGACTTTGATCTCTAATCTGTTTTACCAGATTTCCTCATTTTGCATAAGACCAATTTTTTGATCTTCCCTCCATCTAGACTGAAGCTGACCATACTGAAACCAAGTATAAATTATCCCTTCTTCTTTCAATACATTTAGAGATTTCAATTGTAATTTGCCCTTTTCCATAATAAGAAGTTCTTTGTAAGTAATCACCTCCTGTTTTTGTTCTATACTTATGTTTTCTATTGCATGTCTGGGGTTTGTCCATATAGGTATCTTGTAATCTAATTTATATTGATACTTTTTCCAAACCCTCAACAAGGCATTTCTAAGTATATGACCTTTAAACACCTTATCCACTTTTTTTTTCATATAACAAATAAGCATGCCAACCATATAACAAATCATAATCTTCTATATTTAACATTCTCTCTTCAGTTAAATTAAACCAATCACTAATTTGAGATAAGACAGCTGCTTCATAATACAATCTTAGATTAGGCATTTTAAGACCTCCTCTTTCACGTACATCCTGTATAATTTTCAATTTTATTCTTGGTTTTTTCCCACCCCAAATAAAAGTATTAACCCCTTTCTGCCACTCCCTCAGGTTTCCATCTTTCTTAAGCACTGGCATCATTTGAAACAAAAATAAAAACCTAGGTAATACATTCATTTTTATTACTGCTATCCTTCCCAGTAAAAATAATTGTAACTTTTTCCAATTTTCCATTTCTTTCTGCACTTTTTGCCAAAGAACTTCATAATTGTTTTTAAATAATTTTGTATTAGAGGCTGCAATATATACTCGTAAATATTTGACCTTTTTAACTATTTCAAATCCCGTTATTCTTCCCAAGTCTTCTCTTTGAGACATAGACATATTTTTGGTTATCATCTTTGTCTTATGTTGATTTACTCTAAATCCAGATACCTTACCCTATTGAGCTATTATATTCAACATATGTGGCGACGATTCTATAGGTCGAGATAAAGTAACAACCAAGTCATCTGTAAACGCTCTTAACCTATACTCTTGTTGTCTAATTACAATTCCCTTTAGTTTATCAGATCCACGTATCTTATTCAATAAAACTTCTAGAGTTAAAATGAACAACAATGGAGACAAAGGGCAACCCTGCCTTGTTCCTTTCTCAATTTTAAAAACATCTGTTAAACCTCCATTAACTATTATTTGTGCTGTTTGTTCCTGATATATCGCTCTAATTGATTGTATAAAATACTCTCCAAAATGCATTTTTTCTATTATCTTAAACAAAAATTGCCAATTCAGTCAATCAAATGCCTTCTCTGCATCCAAAAATATAAACGCTGCAGGGACTTGGTTATTTTTTTCCAAGTATTCCAATAAGTTTACGATTTGTCTAACATTATATTTCATTTGCCTCCCTTTTATAAACCCTGATTGATCCTTATGAACTGTTTGTTGTATAACTGGCATTAATCTATTCGCTAATATCTTAGCAAAAATTTTGTAATCAGTGTTAAGTAGTGATATTGGCCTAAAATTTTCAGGTTTGGTACAATTTTGATCTTCCTTCGGGATTAATGAAACAAAAGCTGTTCTCCAAGAGGGTGGAACTCCTCCCCCTGATTGAATTTTACAAAATAAAGCTCTAAGCGGTTCTACCATTTCAAACTGTAAATTCTTGTAATAAACAGCTGTTAATCCATCAGTTCCCGGGGCCTTGCCTGTTTTTAACTGTTTGATTACTGCAATAATCTACTCAGAGGTTATTGGTTGATTCAATCCTTCCCTCTGTTCCAACGTTAATGCTGGAATATTCTCTTCCCTTAAATATCTATCTATATCTATATCTTGAATTGAATCACTAGCATATAACTTTGTATAAAATTCTAAAAAAGCTTTTTTGATCATGTTCTGTTGATAAACTTCCTTACCTCTAAATTCTATCTTCCCTATAACTCGTGATTTCTGTTTTTTCCTCAACGCATAAGTCAACCACCTACCTGGTTTATTGGCATTACAAAATGTATTATGCTTAGCGTATTATAAATTAGTTGCCACCTGGTCAGCCATTAACATATTAAATTGCTCTCGTAGTATGTTTATTGTTTCTTTAACTTTCTTATCTCCTGGATTAGTTATAAGTAATTGTTCTTTCTTTTTTATTTCCTCCTCTATCTCTTTCCGCTTCTTTTGTTGTTTTAATCTATATTTATTATTCATATGTATTAAAGTTCCCCTCATATAGGCCTTACTTGCATCCCATACCATTTCCATAGAGGTGCCCTTATACATATTCATAGCAAAAAAAATCTTTCATTTGTTTTTTAAGCTCAATCACATTTTCTTCATATCTAAATAAATTTTCATTTAACCTCCAAGACCTCCTTTCTCCCCTCTCCTGTACCAATTCCACCCAGACCGGGCTATGATCAGTTAAGGTTCTTGGACATATCTTCGTCTTCTTCACCCTAGAAAAAAGATCATTAGTGATTAATATAAAATCAATCCTAGAGAAAGATTGATGTCTGTCCGAGAAAAAAGTAAAATCTCTTTCCTCAGCATTCCGTTCTCTCCAAATATCTCTCAGTTCCATATCTTCCATCATATCAAAAAAGGATTTAGGTAATTTCGCACGTGTTGAAATCTTGGACAAGCTTTTTTTGTCTTTCTGTGTGTCTATTACTGCATTCCAATCACCCATTAATATAAAAGATTTGTAATCCCATTGTATTATTTTGGTATGTAAAAATTTATAAAATTTGTCTTGTTGTTGATTGGGTGCATATATCCCAATTAAAAGTATTTTTCCAGTCATTTAATAATTCAGTTGCAATATATCTACCTTGAGTGTCTGCCTCGATTAAATTAGCGGATAGTCCTTTCTTCACATATATAACTAATCCATTTTTCTTCTCTGTTGCTGATGCCACAAAGTGTGCACCTAATCTTGAATTTATCAAATATTTTTGGTCTGATAATCTAATATGTGTTTCCTGCAAACAAATAACGTCATTCTTAAATTGTTTCAAATAGTGAAATACTTTCCTTCTTTTTTGTGGCGAATTTAAGCCATTAACATTCCAGGATAGGAATTTAGTTGCCATCTTTGGCTCCTCGAAGCTTCGAAAGCCACAGCTGAAGTTCGTGCTCCATCTTACTCTTCGGCCTAGCTCCTCCCACTGCTTCTGTTTTTTTGAATTCTTGAGATGAGACTTGAGATTGTTGCACTTTTAGTTGTTGCTCTTGACGTTTGTAGGTTGCTCGTGTCATTCGTTGTTCTCTTGGTTCCTCTATCTTCTTGGATGGTTCAAGAGTTGGGGATGGGCCCCCAGATTGCAATAAATCTTCTTCCGTGGTGATTCCTCCAGCTGCAGCTTCAGCATAAGTTTGTATCTGCTTTCCATCTTTCTCTTGTTGTATCATCTCCATTTTCTTTCTGCCCCCTCCTGGTGAAGGTGGATATCCAGCCTTTAGTACGTTGACATAAAAATCTTTTGCCTTCCATACTGTATTTAAACGGTGTCTTTGTCCACCATAAGTCACTATTAGACCCTTTGGGATGTCCCATCTGTACTGGACTTGCTGGTTTCTCAGTTCATTTACCAAGAAACCAAAGTCCTTTCTAGCTCTTAGCATTTTAGGAGGAATCTCTTTCAAAACCACTAATTCTTGTCCATCCACTTGAATCTTATTCTTGTATGAAGCTTGTAAAATATCATTTCTAATCCTCCTGGTTGTAAAATAGATCACCACATCTCTTGGTAGCTGCCTTTGTCTTGCCATCCAGGAATTGACCCTATAAATTTTGTCAATTTGAATTGCCACATCTTCTGATCTTTCTTTAATTATCTCTGCTATAGCATTAGCACAGATATCCTTTAAATTTTCATGGCTATTTTCTTTCAAACCTCTCAGTCTCAAAGCAAATTCCATGGATCTATATTGTAACATAACAAGTTCATCATCCACCTCCTCTGTTTTAGTCATCATTTCTCCTACTTTATTTTCCAAATTCAAATTGGCATCATTAATCTCTTCTACTCTTTCCTCCAGCTGAACAAGATGTTTTGTCAGCCCTGAGGCTGCTAGAATGATATCATCTATTTCATTATGCTTTTCTTCCACAACATCTGTTAACATTGCATTTATATCCTCTGTAAATTGTTTCAATTTCCCATCCATAATTACTGTTAGGTTGTCCATTTGTTTATTTATGGCTTCTTTTATAAATTCTTTGAGCTCTCTCAAAGAAGCCTCCTGGCTCTGTGAGTCAACCGGAAGTTGTGCTTTCTGTGGCATAGCTATTTTGACAGTACTTCAAATGTGAAAAAAAAACAAGAATCAGCAGTTAGACAGTTTTATCAGCTTGTCAAATTTCTTCATGCTATACAACCTTTAAGTAACTGTCTAATTCCCCCCTTGATAAGTGAAATTGTTTTCAGGATTGCCAGAGATGATAGACGCTAAACAAAATATTACAGATTTTCTAGAACCAGTAGTTTTTTCATCTTTGGCAATAAGTTAACAACTAATACTGTGATAATAATATAATGATTAAATTAGAAACTAGAGCTTGTTACAATCGACTCTCAAGCAAGAGGATATAATTTTACCTGAGTAACTCTAGTTCAGTTCTCAGTTCTGCCACACAGTTGTGCTGGGCATCATCAGGACCAAGAATGATATATCCACAGCCATTGGGGCATTCATGAGCACGAAATTCACACGATGCCACATGACTATATAAGTTACGCCGTTCAACTTGGACTGGACAAGCTGAGTGAAAAACAGAAGGTGGGTAGAAACAAAAGAAGCAATTTTATCTCCAAAACTGTATTGTTGATAAATTATTTCTTTACCAAGGTGTTCTGACTCAGAGAAAATTTTGAGTGATAGTGAAAAAGGTGTTCTGTTTTCCTGTTCCTCAGCATATCTTTAGCACATTTAGGAAACTTATAGCTTCTAGAAGTAGTTGGGACTTTAAGAGTCTCACCCAATATGGCCAATTTTCAAGAATGAGAGGTTCTGTGATTCCATTACATCAGGAAAGGTCCTTGTTAGTCATTTCTAATCTAACACATGGAGAAGCAGTTTGTCTCCCAAACAATTACAAAGGGGAAGAAAGAAACATCAGTTGCTCTCCAGTTTCATGAAAGCTGATGTCAGCTCTTCGCGGATTCTATGAATCCATGGGTTCCTCAGCAAGGTGCAAATAAATTAACTTGCACAGAAAGAGAAAAACTAGAACTCAAGAAAGGTCACTCGAGGCCCAAATTATTTAATGTAGGTATTAAAAATGGGTTTGCCATCGCTACATAAAACATCTCTGCCTTTACCTACCATTATTTGGACAGGGTATCTGGCTGTATTCACAGTCGCATTCATGACTGTCAATGGATTCTAGTGAGCACACAATTTCACAGCCACGGTCTTTGTTTGTGCAGTGAAGCTGAAGTTGATTAAGATCATTCCTCATGTACCTACATTAAGAAAATTATCACTCTTGCAGTACCATTAAAAAAATGTTTTCTGACAAATTTTTCTTTGAGAAACATGGAAAAGTAATATTTTTTAAAAAAAGAAAATACAACCTTTTTGTGGTTTGAATAACAACTGACCAGGGAAAATAAACCAGAGAAAAAAATTGAAAAAGGATTATGGAATCTTTCCCAATACAATAAAGGTAGCCCTCATTATCTATTGTGTCCATTACATGCCATTTTGAATATTTGTAGCTATTAAAAAGAGGCCAAACCCATTATACACAATAAAGATTTACACATCTCCCCTGCATTTATCTTGATTGTTGATACTTTATACATTTGCTAAACAGCAGACAGTTTTTTTGCAGATATATTATAGGTAGCCCTCGACTTAAGGGCACGATTGAGCCTGGAATTTCACTTGTAAGTTTTTGTGGTCATTAAACAATGCATCCGATGTTAGGACTTTTTGGCAGCAGTCGTTAAGTGAATCCATTTTATCCAATGGGTGTTTTTTTGTCAGAATCCAGAAGTAAATGATGGAAACTGGGAAAAGACTATAAAAGTTGTGGTCATGTGATCATGGTAAACTGAAAATGGCCGCAAGTCAGTTGCCAAGCACCCATATGTGATCACCTGACAATGGTGTAAGTGTGTGCGTGAATGCACGTACGCACACATTGGAACTTTGAAATTGAGTTCCAAGTACCTTTTGGGGGTCTGTCATAACTTTGAACCCTGGCTTACGAATGTCTGCCCCAAAACCTATTTCTCAAGACTCAGAAAGCCGTTTCAAGGTTAGCTTTAAAATCCCTTTCACAATCCCATTTTATGAGAAGCAGCTGCAAATAGGAAAATGGCACAAACTGAATCCCTGCCCTAAAGAGCGACTAATACCAGATCAGGACTAGGAGTTGTGGCGAGTGGTCCCATACCTGTACAGTGGTCGAAGGACAGACAAATCAAGAGACTGGCGATCCTCTGGGCAACTGTTGTGTTGAAGGAGCCATCTATAGATGCAGGAAGTGCAGAAGGCATGTTCGCAAGGAGCTTGCAGAGGATCTTGGAGCACACCTCGGCAAATGCAACAGATCAGCCCTTCATTGACATGACCAACAAAGCGATCCATGTCATAGCCCATTTTTCTCAAACACAGTTAACCTAATATGGGAATGAAATACAGCATTAGCCCGAGCAGAGGAGAGTAACGTCTTACACTGCCTTTGAAAATCAAGGCTTTCTCTCTCAGGGACATCAGTTTTGCATCTTTACAAAGTGACTGACCTGACTGGCAAGTTTTAAACAACTCTCACATACCAAAAAGATGCCTAGCAGATTCAAAGGTAAAAGATACTCATATATCATATAGAACATCTAATGCATGCAAATCTCTTCAAATTCCTTGACTAAACTTCTCAAACATTGTGATATGTTCTTAAGCAAACAGCATGGCTAAAAAATAGAATATGATAAAGTGAATTACATAAAGAATTTGAAAAACACTGAAGCGACATAGCTGGAAAGAGGGAATTGTCTCGTCTTCCCACCTGTCTTAAAGCGAAAGGAATAGGTTATATATAGGATCAAATGAGCCAATCTCAATTAATGAGATGAAGAGCCATATGTCATTGAACCCATACACCCACCTGTGGCCTAGGAAGAACACAGAAGTAAGAGATACACAATATATATTTATTTACATTTCAAGGCTGCCCACCTCAATACCTCTGAGCTGCTTAGAAAGAAAGGAGAGAATCTATCTTTTATATAAATAAAAATGTAAATGTTCGTTTGTTCAAAATCTTAAATCTCTGAAAGTTCTTCATCGATTGCTTTGAAATTTTGACACAATGTTGCATTTGAATACGCGGGTGTGTTTATATACCTATATTATATAGATGTCACACCTGTGACAGGTAAAAACATGCTTTTGTTGAAAAACAGCGCCATCTGTTGGACGTAAAAGCAACACACTCTATACGCAGAGCCCACCAGTCTTTTCAGCGCGAGCCGCATCTTTTCCCCTCGGCACCGCCGCCGCCAAACCCACAAGCAAAATGGCGGGAAATGTCAACTGCTGCAAAGCCCGGCCGGAGCCCTCCGCCACTCCCATGAGGCGCAGAGAAAGGCAACTCAGACCTGAATCCAATCGACCAAGTGAAAAGACTGGCGGGACGGAGGCAAAGTAGGCGTGACCTGAGTTACAGAGGGAAATTATTGGCACTCGGTCAAAAAATATTGTATACCCACAAGACTGAGCCACGGCAATGCGTGGCCGGGCACAGCTAGTGTGTATATATATATATATAAAGGATGTCACAACTGACCAGAAGAACGAACACTGAAACTAAACTAATTAGAAAGGGATACAAAATCCCGTAAACCAAAGTCTGGGAGAGCAAATAGGTTTTGAATAATTTATAGAATGTCGTAAGGGTGAGAGCTGCATAAATCTCTGGGAGATAGAATTCCAGAGGGCAGGAATGACAAGATGACATTGTTTAATAAACAGGATCTGGAGGACACCCATACTGATTAATTCTACAGGACGGGCAGAAATGCATGGAAACAAACAGTTCAGGAGATAACCAGGCCTCCTGCCATGAAGGACTTTAAAGTTAATAACCAGCATTTAGAATTGCACTTGGAAGCCAACCAGCAACCAGTGCAGCTCACAGAGGTTACATGAGCATAATGTACCACTCCTGGCTGGGCTGCTGCATTCAGGACCAGCTGTAGCTTCCAGATGATCTTAAGGGTTATCTCATGTAGAAGCAACTACAATAATCCAATTGTGAAATGATCGAGATGTGAGTGACTGTCTGAAGAGCCTTTAAGTCCTGGAAAGGACACAATAGGTGCACCAAATGTATGTGCAAAGGCCTTCTAGGTCACAGCTAGCACTTGCTCATTGAGTAGAAGCTGAGAGCCCAAGAGAACCCCATGTTGTGCACAAATCTCAAATGGGAAAGTGCTGCCCCACTGAGAGTTAATGGACTGGTCAGGTATGAGCCTGAATTTGTTCCTCCCAATCCAGACACCTGCACAGTCTTTAAAGCACTGGCCTAAGACTTTGGTGGCATCACTTGACTGGCTTGGAGTCGATATGTACCAATGGATATAATCAGCTGATGCTCATACTGATGATACTTGACCCCAAACAAATGGATAATTTCACCCAGCAGTTCCACGTAGATATTGAATAGAAGGTAAGAAAGTGTAGAAACCTGTAGCATCCCACGAGACCATTCACATTCACCAACGACAACTGTAACCAACCACAGAGGAACAAACCCATCATCACAGTGCCCCCTCTCCCACGTTTGCTGCTGACCAAAGGACACCATAGTGGATATTAATGAAAGACACTGAAAGATCAAGGAACACAAGCATGGCCATACTACCCCATTCTGGCTTTGCCACAGAGATGGAGATGACTAAGGTAGTCTCCATACTAGACTACAACCTGCCTACTGGAATGGATTCAGAGAATCCACTTCCTCCAGGGACGTTTGACCTGAAGCCTGACTACCTTCTCCACCATCTTCTCTAAAGAGGGAAGGTTGGAGAATGGGTAATAATTGTACAGGACTATTGGATTTAATGATGATCTCTTCAGGAAAGGGCACATCAGTGCCTCCTTCAAGACCAAGAAAACTACTTCAAAGAAGCTGGCGCTGCAGCACAGATATTAATACAATGACATAGACATCCGTACAATTTTCTAATGTCTAAGACCATGATGGCAAACCTATGGCACGTGTGCCACAGGTGGCACGCGAAGCCATATCGGTGGGCACGCGAGCATTGCCCTAGCTCAGTTGCAGCGCACTTGAGTGCGCAGGCCAACTAATTTTCGGGCCTTCCGGGTATACTGGAAGTTGGCAAACGGGCCGTTTCCGGCCTCCAGGGGGGTGGAGAAGGCCGTTTTCACTCCTAGAAAGCCTCTGGAGCCTGGGGAGGGCGAAAAATGGCCCTACTGGGCCCACCGGGCTATCACGTGCCAAAGACAGGGGCAGCGGGGGGGGGGGGGGGAGCGCCCAGAGCGCGGGGGGGGGGCATTGAATTGTAGGTGTGGGCACACCCCCGACCAACCCTCTACGCTCCCCCCGCTTTTGGCACATGACAGCAAAAAGGTTAGTTATCACTGGTCTAAAATATGTTTGCTTACTGAAAATAGTATGTGGAGCTTAAAACTGTTTGCCTCTCTGTCCATCACCAGGATAACTCTCCAAAAACGCTCCAAAAGAGCCTTGATAGTACAGTGGTCTACGCACCCTGTTATTAACACAGCTGCCTGCAATTTACTGCTGGTTCGAATCTCTCCAAGGCTCAAGGTTGACTCAGCCTTCCATCCTTTCTAAGGTAGGTGAAATGAGGACCCAGTTTGTGGGGGCAATAAGCTGACTTTGTATAAATATACAAAAGTATGAAGGCTATTGCTTAATGCATTGTAAGCCGCCCTGAGTCTCCGGAGAAGGGCGGCATATAAATCAAATAAATAATAAAAAAAAAAAACGGGGAGAAAAAAACAGGACTATATTTTGTTGTGGTGGACAGCTGTAAAAGACAATCTGGAATGTAAAATGGGTTTTGGGTTGCAAAGATTAAAATTATAGGGAAAATATCTCTCAATGAAGCCCTATGGTGGGCAATGTTTCAGAATGTTTCTAATTTTCTGCATGGTTTATCCTAAACAAATATAAAGGTGTTGGGAGAGCTCAGCAGCTACTTCATCATATCTTGGTTCTCCCCACCCCCATTTTCTCTTTATTACTGATATTGACATAAAAGCACAGTTGAGACCATGCAGAAGATTTATTAATAGCGTGATTGCTAATGGTCTATTTGGGGGCAGCTGGACCATAGCAACTGTCATGGTCCCTTTGGAGCCTGGTTCGGGGGAGGAGGAACTGGGACCGTCCAACAGAAATGGCACATCTCCCTTGGTATGTTTGAAGAGGCCAGGGGCTGAGGATGATGCTGTCCCGGACCGCTCAGGCATTGAGGGAAGTAGTCAACCAGATGAAGAGCTGCCTGCCTGCACAGACACGAGAGGATCAGCGGCTGACAGGCCATAGTGTTGATAGGCAGCAGATCTCCTCTGATGAGGAACAGCTGTCTCATCCACTGATCCAAGGGCAAGCAGAGCTGAACATAGGCAAGCCCAGAGAAGGGCTGCAAGGCTACTTGGGAGGAGGTCACCCCACTTCTTCTCACAATGAACACCTGGGATGACGTAACTTAAGGTGAAGCCATGGGGAGTTAGTCTTTTCCAGGAACAAATGTTTGTTTTGGGTTACAGTCCCCTGGCTTTGACGCCTAGCTTTGTGCCTTGGTTTGAGGACTGCCCTTTGTCTTACCCTAGCCCTGTGGCAGTGGTGAAATCCAAATTATTTTACTACCGGTTCTGTGGGCGTGGCTTGGTGGTTTGGTGGGGCGTGGCTTGGTGGGCATGGCAGGGAAAGGATACTGCAAAATCTCCATTCTCACCTCACTCTAGAGGAAGGATACTGCAAAATCCCCATTCCCTCCCCACTCCTGGGAGAAGGATATTGCAAAATCTCCATTCCCACTCCACTCTGGGACCAGCCAGAGGTGGTATTTGCCGGTTCTCCAAACTGCTCAAAATTTCTGCTACCAGTTCTCCAGAACCTGTCAGAACCTGCTGGATTTCACCCCTGCCCTGTGGACTTTACCTTCAGAACTGCCTTTGCCTTGTACCTTGTTGTTGTCCTGAGGACTGCCATTTGTCTTATGCCTGGACTTTGCCTTGTGAACTTTCTTGGTAATATATGGGTTGTTTGGAGGATTCAGGGTGGCTGCCTTCAGGGTAATGTGGGGTGGAGCCTTACTGGTCATTAGAGGACCATTTGTTGAACACTTCTTGAGGACAATAAAGGACTCTCTAAAGGCCTGCTTTGCCTTGACCACCTGGGTCATAACAGCAGCAAGAAGGCGTATAGTTAGAAATCTTACGAGTGGCATACACAGATGGCAAAAAGTAATACAGCTTACCTGAAACTTATAATTTATAACCTCCAGATGTTTTGTGGCTACAATTTCAGTTCAGGCAGAAACCCTGGCTGGAATATTGGGAGTTCTTAACACAATTGTAAGGCTCCTGGAATAGGAAAAATGAAATGAAAAATGGAACCAAAAGCAAAGGAACTGCTGGAGGTGGTTTATCTCTGAAAAGTTCACTATTCATAGTTACAGAAAATATCTAAAATCTGTCAGTGTCTTAAAAATGAAACATTGGTGCATTTACAGATCAATAGAAGTAATGTGTTTTTATGGACTAGGTACCACTGAACCAAATGTAGAAATATAACCCTCAACTGACTATTTTGTATTTGTTGATGAAAAAGAAAAACATAAGGAAAGGAAATTCTCAAGAACATGAACACATGGCCATGAAAATGCAATCTGGCTTAAAAATAATCAGTCTCATGATATCACTGTATCTTAAAATAGCAACACAGGTCTTTGATGGATTTGGCTGCAATAGAGTCCTCTCCCACACACCCCTGCATGGGGCTGTCTGTCTGGGGGAATTTATTAATTTTAGGCCCACCCATTCCCCCCCCTCCAGGAAATTTGAACTCCACACATCTTAAAGTGACCAAGTTTGAAAAACAGGCATGAAAGCTTATACAGCTACCCCTCAGCTTATGACCACAACCGAGCCCAAACCCTCTGTTGCTAAGTTAAGTGAATTTTGCACCATTTTGTGACCTTTCCTGCCACCGTTGTTAAGCGAATCACTGCAGTTGTTAAATTAGTACAGGACTGTTAAGTGAATCTGGCCGGCCGGTTGCCCAGCATGCAAATTTTGATAATGTTTGACCATGGGGATACAGCCATGGTCGTTAAGTGTGAAAATCGGTCTCAAGTCCCTTTTTTTCAGTGAAGTTGTAACTTTGAACTGTCACTAAGTGAAGTGTTATAAGCCGGGGACTACCTGTACCATAAAACGCCTGTTCAATTGTAAAACTCGTTTATATTTGCCACTCACCAACATATCCAGTCAACTTTTACAAATTTGATTATATTAGTAAAAAAAGAAGCAGACATACTGCGAACTCCGGAACTTAAGATTTTAAAATTTTATTTTACTAATAAAGATCTCTGTAATGGTAGTTTAATGGTAGTTTAATACTCTGACGATGTCAGCAGATGGCTGACGAAAGCTTAGTAAAATAAAATTTTAATTCTTTTAAAATTTTAAAATCTTAAATTCCGGAGTTCGCAGTATGTCTGCTTCTTTTTTTTACACACACACACACACACACACACACACACACACACACACACATATATATGCATGCACAGGGGAATTCCTGGAAAATATGACTTTAAAAAAACTATACATATATAGTTTTATATATATATAAAACTATATATATAAATAAATCTATATAATTATATAAAACTATATATATAGGGTTTTTTAAGTCATATTTTCCAGGAATTCCCCTGTGCACGTAGTCAGCCTTTCCCGCCGTTCCCTGGACAAGGCTGCCCACCCTCGTCCTCCCCATTTATTCCGCGTCTCTCACCCCTTCAAAGCCAGGTCCAACCGCTGAATCTACAACGTATCACTCGCTCCGCAGCCAGCAAGACAAAAGCGGACGCAGATTCTACGGGCCTCTATATATGCCGCATCTCATTGGTCCAGATACACCCAGAACATAGAGCACCAAAAATAGAGTCGCGCAGACAGCCGACTTCCGAGTTTCTCTTCGCTGAAAGAGCAGACTAACTGGGAATTAGATTTTGAGAACCCCGCGGCACTACAGTGTTGGAGGTCGTTTTCTTTAATTTTTCCATTTATTTTCCAGGCGGCTGTAGATGGTGACGGGTGGGGGGTGGAGATGTGTCCTCCTTCATTTTGTTCTTATAGCAACCAGCCTGTGAGGTAGGTTGGGCTAAGACTCGATGAGCAGCCTAAATTCATTCAATTTTAAGTTTTATGGATACCCGGACGCGGGTCTCAAAACAGAGAAAAGACTTGTAATTAAAATTTCATTCTGAAAGGACTTGCTGAAGGCTGATGTTAGACGTGCTTTGAAATCCATTCAAGAGAATGAATAAGAAAAAGATACCAAGAAGTTTCCTTCTTAATGCTCTCTTCAAATGCATAGCTCTATATTTTTTATGTAAATGATAAACCTCTCTCTCTCTCTCTCTCTTTCTCTCTCTCTCACACACACACACAGCTGAAGCAATTTCTATAAAAATAAATAAGGAGTAAACAGAGACATTGTTCTAACAGTATGCTCAATAATTGACAGAAAAAGCATGGGCAATATAAAAGGCAGTAGCAGAGCATGCGCAGTACAGATTCCCTTGCTCTAGTGGTGGAATTGTGCTAGGCCGGCAAATAACCGGCTGAGTTTGTGCGCATGCGTAATAGGCCGAGAAACGGCCTATTAGAAAGAAATATAGAACGGAGACGTATGCTGTGTACGCATGCGCTGTTGAACGTAGTTGTGGAAAGGAAAGGCGTAAGCTATATGGCGGGACGATTAAACTGCTATGTAAGTCTGGCTTTGCTTTGTGTGTGGTAGGAAGCGGGCATCGTTAGGGATAAGGAGCTACTATAGGTCCGTCCTCGGGCATGCGATATGGGATACTCTGTGCGTAGTACGGTATCAGTTTGGATTCCTTTTTCTTATTTGCATTTTTGAAACTGCGTTTGAAAAGCAGTCTGCATGTTCTCAGAAGCCCTTGGTTCTTTGATCTGTACAGAGCCTTGGTGGCGCAACAGACTAAAGTGCTGTTAAGTAGCACCAGCTGCCTGCAATTACTGTAAATTCAAATCTCACCAGGCTCAAGGTTGACTCAGCCTTCCATCTTTTCGAGGTAGGTAAAATGAGGACCCGGATTGTGGGGGCAATAAGCTAACTTTGTACAAAAAGTCAGCTTATTGGGGTGTGTGTGTGAATGCCCTACTAAGTATGTATATACAAAAGTATGAAGGCTATTGCTTAACACATTGTAAGCTGCCCTGAGTTTCTGGAGAAGGGTGGCATATAATTCGAACCAATAAATAAATAAAATCTTGAACCTTATTAAGGCAGTTTCATATTTCATAACATTAAAAATAATAAAATCTTATAAGAATGAGGTCATTGGATATTTTTATTGGACAGAGTCTTACAAAAAGCAGAGAGTGGCCATTGGAAAATGTTGCTCTGCCGGCATAATCATCATTATGCTGGCACCCAAAGGCATATTATTGTTAAAAAACAGCATTGTTGAGAAAGCATATTGGACCGAACTTTTTTCAATTAAATGCCAGGTTAATGGTGCCGCTATAAGACTCACATTTTATTGTAATGCACATTTTATTGCAGCATGTGCAGGATGCACATCTCAAGAATGGTTAACAGTAATGAGTGTAATGAAATTGGCAATAAGTAACATAAATAGAGTGCAGAAACCAAACCATATGATGAAAAAAAATAAGCCACATCAACCTGGCTCCTCGCATGATTTCCTTGGAATTCTTAAAGGATCTGAGAAAAAGTCCTTTCTTCCTCAACACTTACCTCAGAAATATAGTCACTGGAGAAGGAGTAAGGGGAGTGATATTTTGTAATTCCTCAGCTTTTTACTTTAATGTCTAGATATAATGTAGTTAGACTCCTGTTGTTATATAACGAGATTTGTCTACACTTGGTTACCCTTAGTAGAAAGAGCTTAATGAGAGGTGTATTTGATTGTGTAAAGAATCTGTTTCAGGAAGTGGTGAACTTTCTACTCTTAGTGACATAGGTAGAACATGAACGGTGCTATGTCAGGAATGCTGCCACTGGTTTCTAAACTAGGTTCCTGGATTGTATGTGGTATTTGGGTTCTTACAATAGGCTTTCAAAGACTGAATTTGCTTCACACTTCCTGCTTGCTCTTTTTTTCAAATCAACAGAGCTAAAGATGAGACGATCAGCAGCTCCAAGTCAACTTTTGGGGCATTCAGCCAAAAAGCCAAGATTCATACCTCCAGGAAAAATCCTGCAGAAAACATCTGAATATGTAGATCCAGAAATTAAAACAGATAAGGTAATATTAAAAGAGGAGAAGACCACAAAGACATTAACATTACTAATGTGAACAACTCATAAAAACTCCAATTCTCTTTCATACAAAAAGTTTCTCCACACTGAATATTAGATATCAGGAGCATGCGTATCTTTTTATTATACAACATTTTGTTTGGTTTGGAGATTGTAGTTTACACATATTGCTTAATCACCACAGTTAGCCATCTCCGAAATATCCTGACCTAGCAGAAATTTGCCTTTGTATGTGGAGCTTAGGCAACAAAACTCCAATATGGTCTTCAACAAAAAAGAATTAGCTTATTACTTAGCAAAAACCAATTTAGTTCATATGCTATTTCAAAGGGAAGATATACAAATTACCCAATCCTATGGTATTTCCTCAATCATAAATTCATTTGCATTCTTACACATTTCTCAGGCATTCTGTTTCTCTATTTAATCAGGATGCATTGTGGAAGACTATAAAAATGGGTCCTAGCTTCATTCCCTTTGATATCAGTTGCTGTCCAGAAGTTGGAGGCATAACGTCTAAATTTTTTTTCTGTGAAGACTTCTCACGTAATGATTTTTTTAGGTGTGTGTGTAAATAAAACGGGAAATATACAAAAAAGGGAAGCACTTAGGGAGTAATAAATCATAAACTAGTGATTTTGTCCAGATTTCCCAGCTGTAAATTGATCATTATTGAAATTAGACACCTGAATAGAATTTTAGATCTTGTTTCTTGTGTCACATTCCATATTGCTACCAAAAACCTGCATGTATTAGTTTATGTGTCACAGGGAACTGTCTTCAGCTCAAGAGAGTCTCTTCCTTTTTGTTTGTTGAACTAATTCATGATATCACAACTGAGCCATCTGAGGAACTGCAAATGAGATCTGTTAATTTGGATTTGCTGTTCATCTGATAAGTATCAAGAACTCTTTCCAGAGATCTTCCTATATTTATTTAAATTGGCGTGTCTTCATATGAGGTTCTCTTCCCTTTGAGGATGTACTCTTAAAGGACATGGCTTTAATATTTCAGAGTCATCAGGCAGGAGAGGCACATTTTTATTTTGAAGTTGTTGCATGAATATTCCACAATAGATATATATTCTGTTTTATAGGTGTGCGAGAGACAATTGTGTAGCTCAACTTCTGTAAACATTTGTTCTACTACTTCTGGTTTTCATTCTTCTGTAACTGTAAAATCTAAAGAAGAAGAATTGCCTTCTGAAAACAAGAATACGGTGATTGGGCATTTGAAATCTGGAATGAAATCGCTGTGCAGAACAATAGGTAGGAATATGCATGCTTTAATGTAAAGCAGAATAGCTTTTGAAATATCTTCTGAAGGAAAGCTGTAGAAACTGAGCAACATTGGCTTCAGGACAGGTGTATCTCAGGGTTGTGATGGCAAAGTTTTCACTCTTCAGAATAAGGTAAGTTTACTTGTGCTATACTTATATACAAACAAATAGTTGCTGTCTAAAATATCCGCAGGACTGTGGGATAAAATTATATATACAGTATGTGGGGTTGTATATATCAATATTTTCTTACTGCAAGTACCAGATGCCTCCAAATTTGTTGTGGAAACAAGAATGGTTGCTACTGAAACAGAACATGGGTTAATAGAGATATCAGTAATTTGGGAGGTGGTAAGAACTGTTGGAGTATTGTTATTGTGATATATGCAATTTTTGTATTAAAAGCATCAGCAAAATGTTCTGGCCTCAAGTGCCATCACGAGGTGGACAGAATGCTTCCTCTTTGCAAAGCCATCCATTTCCCCCCCTCCCACTTTATGTGCAAGATCTTGGCCATTTAGGGAAAGGAAAAAAACGAGTGCTTTTGTGCATCTGGCTTATTGAAAAGATAAGAAAATAAGTATAGAGCAGGGGTCCCAACCCCCGGTCTGTGGATTGGTACTGGTCCTCAGCATGCCAGCAACCGGTCTGCACAAACAAGCGCAGCCCCACCCACGGGATGCAAAATCACGCCCCCTCTGGTCTGCAGAAAAACCCAAAAGGTTTGGGGCCGTTAGTATAGAGGACATGATTGCCTTATTGTCAAAAGAAAAAAATAGTCTACAAAGAAAGGCAGGAAAAAGAATATCTGTATTCTTTATATATAATGGGTCAAAAAAAATGCTGTAATAAAGAATGCACAATTCATATTATGACCAAGAGATAGTATTTCTCATTGCAAAAGAAGATTATGACTCAGAATCCAAGTCACTGATATAGCTAATTATTCAATTGCAGCCTCCATTTGATTGTTGGCCTATCATCATGATGCAATAAGGAAGGGAACAAGGAAATCCTTCAGCTAGCCCTTTCTAATGTTTTCTTAGTTCAGCTAAGACTGTGGGCAGCCTAGCAACATCCTGGAAAAGTAACTATATAAACCTGGAAGCTAGCTATAAAGCTGGAACAACCTGCAGCTAATTATGTTTCAAGATTCATTCACTTTTAAAATACTTTTCAAGTGCCCCAAGTGGATGTTTCCTCCTTAGTATTAATTTTGTTTCATAGAATTCTTCCAGGAATATCTTTTTATCATTAGACTGCAACTCAGATTTCTCCTGTGTTGGATTTATTTATTAGAAATATAAAATGAGCTACTTTTCAAACTCAGGCATTTAGTTTGCTGAAGGCTGCAAGCCTTCAGTCACTTAAGCCCTGCTCAGATATTCAGGATCTAAAAGACTTGACAATTGAATGTTCTGGGTAACAACCTCCATCCCTTTTCAGGAAGCATTACTTCCACGTTATCTATAAAAGCCTAAAGACATACGGTATGGAAATATACATTACGTCTGCCAATGATCATACTGAATTTGTGATTGCCTGCAAGTAGTTGACAATGTCTGTGTGATGTTGGTGAGCCTTAATTGAAGTATTCGTGGTGAATATCCTTAGTTAAGTAACGCCTAATTGGGGTTCTACACTGAAGGGATTTCACTTGATTAAAAACAATCAGATTTACTTATGAATGGATGTGCTTTGCGTTGTCTGAATTGTAAAACATTTCATACATTCCAGTTCTTCATACCATTAAAGGATTATTCAAGCATTTGATCTACAGGGTTTTATGTATGCATTAGAGGCTGCACAGCTAGGATAAATTGTTAGATTTGGGAAACACTATATTGCAGTGTTTTATAGACAAGAAGCAAAACTTCTAAGACCATTATTTTGGAGGAGGAAAAGATACATCAATTGAAAAAATAATAAGATTATTTTAAGTAGAAAATATGTTCTACTTTGTATTGTGATAGCATTGGCGCTTTTTCCTAAATATAAAATGGATTCTTCCAGGCTTGCTGTTTGCATTGTCTATTTAGAATTGTTCTATCTTCTCTGTTTGCTGTAAAAATTGCTTTTGAGAAGTTGTCCTTTAAAGGAGACATTTGGTTGGTGAGATAATTTTGCTGATTTCCTTTGTTTTAATATTTCTGTTCGTTGGACTTATCACCAATGCAGCCATGGAGCTTGAAACAATGAGCAGATATACTAATCCAGTGAATCTGGCTGTGTTTCCACATCTTACAGGTGCTCTTGGAGACATGTTTTCAACAGCTTAGTTCTTTGTTTATGAAGTGATATCCACCAAGCTTTGAGTTGTGTTCATCTGCTGAATTTCAAATTTGCTTCTGTGATCTTGTCTTCTTTAAATGTCAGTATTTGTCAATCACTTTTTTGATGGCAAGAGTCTTACCTATGAAATCTTACATTGAATTCAACTTATTTCATTCTGATAAACATTACTTAATCTTATCTTAGAAAGCTAAAACAACAACAACAAACAACAATAATAATAACATAAATGGTTGGAGCTAACAATAATTACCATAATGTAGAGTTTGCCCTTCAAATACAGTGTAAAAGGTACTTCAATAATCAAAATTGTAAGAATTTGAATATCCTAACAGACATACTTTGTTTATTGTCATTCAGATGACATTTATTCCACATTATTCCATATCTTACCTTTCTTCAAAACAGGTTAGGATTTGCATTATGATGTGATATGATATAATATAATTTCAATACATCAGTGACATAAGATGACGATATAAATTGGTCCAGGTTTTATTTGGTACAATTATGTTCTACTTTTTTTCTAAGGAGCTCAACAGTTTAAATTTCATCCCTTTGCTTTTTCTCATTTGATCCTCAGGCTTTGTCTTAGTCTGTAATAGATTGATGTCATTGGATAAGATGGATTTGAACTTTACATTCAATGTTTTTAATTATATTTCAGAAATACGTTAATGCACTGCATGAATATATAATTTGATTATAGTTCTCTAAAATGATTGCATATTTTTCTAGACTTATGCTGCAGTTGTAAAAGGCAGCCGCATGTTTCTACGAGAAGGTATAGCAGCTTTAAAGAGTTGCTGATAAATGCTGCGTTATGCAAGATGATAGTGGACTCTAGTAAAATGTAAATATATGTCTAACTGCTACCCATGAATAATAATAAGTGAATAAAATAGTTTTCTAATATTTTTAAAGAAGCACATGCTCAACAGAACCAGGACATGAATAAGTGGAAAATGGGCTGCTCACCTTTACAGCTGGAGTTGTAGTTATATATTAATTTTTTGTTCACATTTTCAGAATTATGTTTCACTGTCTTTTAAGATTCTGCTTTCATTTGCCTGAATTTAAGTAAAAATAATACTCCTTATAAAAAAGAAATAACATTCATAAAGATAAAATGAAGGGAAGATGTTTCCATAAAAATGACTGGCTATTAATGTTTTTTTAAATCTCTGTATAGATAGATTATTCACCCTTGATATAAATAAAACTATATCTAAAGTTGTGGTGGGTTAGAGATTTTTAGACCTTGATTCAAGCTAGAGCATTCCAAGAAATACTTTCTATGTATAGTCCTTAAATTAAAAAAAAAAATAACAAGGAAAAAAAAACATCGATCGGTAAGAAAATAATTCTAAAACCTATATTTGGATAATATATCTTTCAGTGAGCAGATTTCTGACTTTTCGAGGACCGTTTCTCAGATCTGTTATGGAAAAAAATGTTATTTCATGTTAATTGCCATGGGACTTGTGTTTGATCATGAAGTCTTAAAAAGAAACTCTGAGAAGAGGCAGGCAATTTACCGGTAATTGTATTCCATTATACACAGGAAGATTTTATGTTCTACCTCAATTAAGCTATAACATAACTTATTTGGTTTTCACACAATATTGTAAGTTGTGTGAATGTAGTAATTTGATCAGGAACTTGAAAATAAAAAATATAAAATATTATAAATATTTGAATATTGTAATATAATATATATTATAAAATATTGATTACTTTAGCTGAATCAAGCCAGCCATGACTTGGTAAACTATGATTAAACAAACCATGACTTACGTTGTGGGATCCTAGTGAATGCTTTTCTTATAGAAAGGAATAACTTTTGTCCGTTTGTTACAACAACCAATTAAGTAGAGTAAGCCAGGAGGTAATGACTTTAATGACCTAGAGTGATCGCCTGTTTTTAAGGCCATCAGAGTGCCCTGTTCCTATCTTTATATAACTTCCCTGAGAAGCAGGGAATATTTTGTGATTTGGAGATAAAAGTAAAGATGGACCTGAGGTTTAATTTGATTCCTATATTCCTGAAGGGTTACAAAAATAGTTTGAAGTGATGTGTAAGCATAATACTCCTCAGGACTGTGCTCCATACATAAAGTAGAACTGTGATCAGTGACGGTTATGTCATAAAAAAATTGACAAATTCTTAACACCTGCTCTTATATTACAAGCTGGTAAATTGACAGAATGATTGAATTTCTTATCACGAGAGTATTATGGCAGTGTTTCCCAAGCTAGCATCCTTCATGTCTGCAGCAACTTGCATCAATCCTAGCTCCTTCCTGCTTGGATAGGATGGCTCTTTTTTTAGCCTAGCTCATTTGAAGGTCATTAGAAGGACAACCAGAATCTTGACTGAAGATTGTCCTTAAGATGCACCTCTGGAAATGTGTGTTCCCTGCCATGTGGTGGTTGACTGTAATGAGTTTCACATTTACAACTGCAGCTGTAAGGCGGGGACCCTGTTTTCCACTTATTCCTGTCTCTGTTCTGTGGAGTATCTGCCTCTTTAAAAAGTGTGTGCGTGCATAAAGCCAAAGCCACACTGCAAAGTGCTGGGGAAGCTTAGCTTTGCTGCGAAGCCCGACCCTGAGTGAAACCTAACTAGCTAGGCAATCTGCAATTCCTGATTGACAGCAGGACTAGCATTATGCAAATGGAGCCTGAGAGAAGAGC